CTGGTGGCACAGTGCTAACCAGGTTAGTATTTAAACCCACCAGCTGCTCTGCAGAAGGAACACACAGCAATATACTTCCATAAAGATTTACTGCCTTGGAAACCCAGTGCTGGTTGCTATGAGTTGCGATCAACTTGATGGCAGTGGTTTTTTTTTTTTTTTTTTTTGGTGGCACAGTAATTAAATGCTCAACTGTTAACCAAAAGCTCAGAGGTTCAAACCCACAAGCTGCTCTGGGGGAGAAAGATGTGGCCATCTGCTTCCATAAAGATTTACCCCATCATTTACTAATGGGAGGTGTCCCTATTGGGTACTGAACAGCTTCTCAACCCTTAGAATCAGACTGGACACAGGTTCATGTCCTGTTTTATGTTGGTTTTCACATGTTATTTGCTTTCCATCACAGCAACCACTAAAAACGCTGCTTCACAAAGATGTGATTTAATTAAAAGGAATATAATGAGATTCAGTGCTGAAGCTGTCAGCTACCTTGAGCAAGTATTTCATGGTGCCTCTGAGTTCTCTGTAGTGCCCCAGGGTGCCTCAGCACACAGTTTGGGAACTACAGATTTGCACCAACCTCATTTTCAGAAAGCCTTTGTTCAAACCAGGATACCAGGGTTAGGCCCCCATGGGGGTCATCCCATTCTCTCTAGAATGCCCTGCTCTCCTTGTCTAGTTGTCAAATCCCTGGGGAGCCAGATGAGCCATCCAAATGGGCTTGGCAAGCAGGCATTCAGAACAAGAGGTAGACAAAGTCCGAAGAGTCTGGGACTAGAGTCTCAGATACTGTCTGAGCGCTGGTAAGGCTCAGGGTCACCCTTGCTGCCAGAGCCTGGCCTGCTCCCAGCTCCAGCCCCTCTCCCCTGAGGGCTTTAGGAAATCCAGGTGTGGAGGGGTGAAGTGAGCTTTGGAAAGAGAAGGACTGGGAATCCAGGTGCCCTGCCTGGCCTTTATTTTAGTGGAATAGACACAAACATAATTTTTTTAAAGAGGCGTTTTCATTTCCATGGGCCAGACTCTAAGAGCTTTATAAATATTAACTTATTAAAGCTTTACCATAAACCTGTGAGGTAGGTCTAATACTGACCCCATTTTATGAGAGAGAAATATTTTGCCAAACATTCACAGAACTAGGAAGTGGTGGTGCTGGGTTTTGAACCCAGGCCATTCATGTGCTCCCTCATTCCACTGGGCTGCCTCTGATGTGGTATAATTTAGAGGATTGGAGAAACTTGCCTTCAGATTCTGCCTATGCTGCTTTCTAGCTATGTTTTGCTGGTGAGGTGCTGAACCTCTCTGAGATTATGTTCTTCTGCTGTGAAATAGGCACATTAAACTTCCCTTCAAGGCCATTGAAAGGATTACAGGAGATTATGAGTGCAAAACCCCAGAGCACACAGTAGTGGATGCTCAGAAAGTGTGAACAGTCCCTTCAAGTTTCTCAAATCTCCTGTGTTTCTGGCTCTCTACCTCCACCAGTGCGCACCAAGCGAGCAGACAGCAGGGGGCAGCACTGGGCTGCTGAAGAGCATTTTGTCCTGAATCTGGAAGCACTTGCTGCTTCACACAGGGATCCTGGATTTTAGTACCTGATAATGCGTGTCTTGTCCAGAACACTTGAAGTCGTTTTGCTAAAGAAGTAGTAAGAACAAGATCAAAGCCTGGCAGGATGAATCCAAAGGAGAGCCGAGGAAGCAAATTTAGAAGTACTGTTCTGTGAGATAGCCAGCCTCACACTCCTTCAGGGAAACAACTTCCCTAGGGACCCAATACTGTGCCCTCATTGCTGCCTGATGTGAATTGTTATCCTAAGATAACTTTCTAAAGTGAAAAAGGGCACTTCCTATTGCTTGGAGGCCATCTCCCACGTGCCCACTATTGCATCATCAGTTGGAGAATGTTCAGGAACAGATTGCTGGCAGAGGCTCACCTTGACATCTCTGAGGAAGAACCACTCAGCTGATGGCCCACAGAGATTTTTGATGTAGGGGAAAATAAATGCCCTTCACACAAAAATGTGTGACCTACACATTTCAATGGTTTTGGGGACTGAGTCCTACAGAGTATCTTTGGGGACTGGGTTGAACTCTGTCCTGTTAAAGTAAAAGCCACAATCTAAATGGTATGGAAACCCATACTATCTCTTGGAGGAGGTTGAGTGGTGGGTGCTCTTAGCTGGATGGAGAGGCCGCTTGGGTGCATGGTATCTCTGGCAGGCTGCTTCCCATCTGAGCCATCAGCAACAAGCACTGGTATGTCTGAGCCCTGCTTGTCTCCTGTGGGTAGCTGACGTCAGCTTCTCAAGAAATGACCTTCCTTCTCCCATGTCACGGCCACAGAAGGGCAGGAGACCTAGGGCTGGGGGTTCACAGCTACCCCATGATGTCTGGCCAGTCCACATGCTTTACTGTCCCCAAGAGTAGGGTCACCAAACAATCTCTACACAGGCTCTTTAGCTCATTGGTGGTTCCCTTGTTTCCAAGGATACTAACAGCTTGGTCCTTTGACCTGTTATTTTTTATAATTTTCATTATTCAATTTGTAAGGGATGATGAGTCAGAAGGGAAGTACCAGCATCCTTGTATTCTGTCTCCCAAGTCCCTTTCTTTTGGGAGGACCTGAGCAGTTAGTTTGCTTGCTAAGTGGTCTTTAGAGTGTCTGCATCTCTGACCTATCGTTCACCTCAGCCTGCAGCCTGGACAGGATTTTGCCCTGAAGCCCACATTTTAAGTCTGCCTTTGATGCTGTTCTTGCCTTAAACACAAACTTCTCGCTTCCCCTGCCTCTTTCTTGGCTTTTCTTCTTTCTTGTTTCCTCCACCCAGGGAAGGGAGGCCAAGACTGCCCCAACCCCTAACCCCACTCTGCTAAGGACTGACTCCCAATTCTAGCCACTACTTGAAAGATTCTCTTGTTCCATACTTTTCTAACATCATCCAACTTTCTCAACTTTCTTTGGTTATCTTAATCTAAGTTATGAAAAACCGAGCTGATGTGATAATGTAGATGTTGCCTCCCCCAAACTGACACATTTTCATTTTGTAAAAATAGATCCTCTTATTAACAGGAGGGTCCCTGACTGGGTATAGGAATGACATTTTGAGGCACTTGAACTTCTAAAGCTCTTTAAATCACAGTAGGATTTCACTGCAGGTGGATTGAGCCCCATTCCTGTGATATAAAACCAATTGCCATCGAGTTAAGTTTAACTCATGGTGACCCTATGTATGTCAGAGTAGAACTGTACTCCACAGGACTTGTAGTGGTTGACTTTTGAAGATAGATTGTCAGGCCTTTCTTCAGAGGTTCCTCACAGTACCTCAACCTTTTGCTTAGCAGCTGAGTGTGTTAACTGTTTGCACCACACAGCGACTCCTCTGTGATGTAAGACATCCTCTTTCCATTCCTTTCTTCATCAAATATCACTTTTTGCAAAGAGTCTCCAAGTGATTGCTTTGGGTTCCAGGGTTTTGTCTATAAATTAGGAAGATATGCCTCCCTTTGCCAAGTATTTATAAACCATTTGAACGTCTTGTCTAAAATTTAAGTCATTTATTTTCTTTTGCTTGTTTGGTTGTTCTCCAATTCAATGAGCCCTAGGAGAGCTTGGATTGTTTACTGTTTAGTTCAATACTGAATCCCAAAGCACTGACAATAGTGCTTGGCACATAGGTAACACTCAATATGTATTGGTTGCATAAGTGAGTATTTGATTAGTTCTGTGATGGTATCACCATGAGAGCTCAGATTGAGTTAGACTGCCCCTGTGAACAGGTGGGAGAGGGACCTCCACCAAGCTCAGATTCTCTGTGGTCAAATTTCAGTCCTACCCTGTTCTTCACGTGCCTGTGTGAAACCATGAGCACCACCTTTCTGACTATCTGCTTGGTTGGAATGACCATGTGTTAGTTGTCCCCACCAGATAGCCAGCTTCTTGAGAGCAGGAACATGTCTGCTCTTTGTTTTATACTCAAGGCCTAGAGAACTGTCAGTGCTCAGGAAATATCTCCCAAGTTGAAATCCAATTAAATGGATACAGCCTGTGGATTTCAGTTTGGGCCCAGTACTTTTCCCAGAATGAGCCAAAAGATTTGTGAAGAATCCAAGTACTATATCCATCCGGTACCTAAACACATGCCCAGAGCCTGCCATATCCTCAAGGCTGATGGAAATGCTCAAGACCTGAATGGACTGTGTTACAGCAACAACAACAGATAATAGGTCCAAAATGCATGTGTGTGTGTGTGTGTGTGTGTGTGTGTGTGTATGTGCTGGGGTGGATTAAGATGAACAAATATCTAATTAACTGTTCTCAGAGTATACCATTACGTCAGCCTGGATATTTATTAAATTTGTGCTCATTTCAGTACATTTGAAAATAATGTGTTGCTTAGATTTTTGTCACTTTTTAAGAATTCCTGAGTTTGTACAACGTGTGCTGAGAAATCTTTGTTGTTGTTGTTATTTGCCGTCGAGTCGGCCCCGACTCATAGCGACCCCTCCTTGGGTTTCCGAGGCAGTATCACTATGGAAGTAGGATTGCCCAACCTAGCCAACTCTAAATTAAATGAATTATATAAAACCAAATAAATGTAACCTTAAAATTACAAAATATTCTTTCAAAAATGCTTATGACAAAAGAGATATTTAATTAATATGTGTGGATATATTCACATCTGTTTGATATCATGCAGGGTAGAGGCCTCTGAAAGGAAGTGTGCTTAAGCTGCACAAATATTTCAAAGCAGACTACCAAAATACGTAGAATTCCTGTGTAATTTTTGTAGGATTCTTGTGTAATAGTCTATGCTTCACTAGAGTTTCCCAAAGTCAGAAATACTAGCTTTCCCTCTCTAGCATTTTTACACTGATTCCTGTGATGCCATCTATATAATCAGACATCTCATCTGATGAATGCAAACTAATTTTCTTGAGCTTTGATGAGTTTCAACAGTCTTTGCTTTTTCATCTAATCTTTGTTTCATCTTCTTCTTTCAGGAATCCTGTTCACAATGCTGGTATTTGGACCAGCCTGCGGATTTATCCTGGGCTCTTTCTGTACCAAAATCTATGTGGATGCGGTCTTCATTGACACAAGTAAGGAATGTATCTGAATTTTTAACTATCACGACAAGCATTTCCTCCCTTCATAAAGGAAGCTTCAGCCTGTAGGCTCTAGAACTTTCCTACTGAGTGTAACAGCATCAATGAGTTCATCTTTCTAGCTGGTGGGCATCTGTGATAGGAAAGAAAGAACATTAATGTTAGTTCAGAGAGCCTCGATTCAAGTTTGGGTTCTGCCAATATCTACCTGAAAGGTTGAATAACTTTCTGGAATAGATTTTAACTCCTACAATTTATATTTTTCCTTATCTGTAAATTAAGGATAATAATAGTTAGATCTGCAGTTGAAACAAACCCACCCAGAGGCCCTCAGAAAAAAAAGCTATTGTTCTATATGACTACAAGACCAGAAAAACTAGATGGTGCCCAGCTACCACTGTCAGCCGCTTGGAGGGAAATATACATGAGAACCTGAATAGAGTGGGAGAACAATGTGGAACAAAACTCAAAATCATCATTGAAAAAAAAAAAAAGGGACCAGGTTTGCTGGTCTGATAGAGCCTGGTGGAAGCCCCTGAGACTATGGCCCCTAACTGCCCTTCATATCTGGAATTGAACCCACTCCTGTGGCTTCTAGGCAAACAAAAGACAGGCATATGAGCTGAACATTTTTATTAGATAGATATACTCCTTGGAGAGGTCAATCATTGGAGAATAGAAGGGTTGTGTAGGCACAGGGAAACAGCTCAGGGGGCAGGAGTCTATGGGAGGGAAGGACACAAGGAAGAGATAGCTCTGAGGAGGAAGTGGGAGGGGAGCTGTTGCATTGTAGGAAATTACAGTCAATGTCATGTGACAAAGTATATGTGAACTGCTGTATGGAAAATGAATTTGCCCTGTAAACTTTCACCCAAATCACCATATTTTTTTTTAAATACATATATATGAGGGAGAATAAAGTTAAAAAAAAAGAGCTATTGTAAGAATTAAATGAGAGAATAGATGTGGAAAAGCCTTCCATATACACAAATTTATTGAATTGAATGTTGGCCTATTGATCTGTATGAAACCCTATTTCCTAAACTAGAGTATGTAAGCTGGAAGTACAAGAGTACAAATAGGGTCAAAGACAGGATTTGAAAACCCTTTCTTTAATAGATGATTCTGATGGTGTTTGTAAAGAGATATACTACATCTTAAAGCCATTATAAGAAAAACACCTGTGTTCTTAATAAACCAAAAAACCAAACTCACTGCCATTGAGTTGATTCCAACTCATAGCAACCCCCATTGTGTTTCTAAGGCTGTAAATCTTCATGGAAATGGAATGCCTCATCTTTCTTTTATGGAGCAGCTGGTGGGTTTGAACTACTGACCTTTTTGGTTAACAGTCAAATGACTTAACCACTATACCACTAGAGTTCCTGTGTTCTTAATAGAAAGAACAAATGTATTTCTCAGATTGTCCTGGGGGTCCCCAACCCATGATTCTGTGATTCATTAGTGCACAGTCAAGATGGCTTAGGCTACACTGTAGTAAAAACAATTCCCAAATTTAAGTGGCTTTATACAACAAAAGTATATTTTTGGTCACACTACATGCCCAGTACAGGTTGGAGAAGGTAGGGCTTTGTTCATGTAGTCACTCGGGGATCCAAGTTCACAGAACTTTCATCCTCATCCCTGCTTCTGCAGTTGCCCAGGGAGGAAACTAGATTGTGAAACTGCACACTGACTCTTGGCATTGTTTCCCCTCATGTTTCATTAGTCAAATTAGGTATGCAGTATATTAGCTTTCTGTACTGTGTAACAAATTGCCCCAAGCTTAGGAGCCCCTGGTGGCACAAATGGTTAAGTACTTGACTACTAACTGAAAAGTTGGTGGTTCAAACACACCCAGAGGCCCTCAGAAGAAAGGCCTGGCAATCTGCTTCTGAATGGTCACAGCCTTAAGAAACCCTATGGAGCAGTTCTATTCTGACATGGGGTCGCCATGAGTTGGAGTCAACTTGAAGGCAACTGGTTACTGATCAGTGGCTTAAAACAATAAATTTTTATTATCTCAAGTTTTTTCTATGACTCTTTAGTCTAAGAACAGCTTACCTTGAGCTTCTGGCTCAGATCTCTTATGGGGCTGCAGTCAAGGTGTCGGTCTGCTCTGCAGTCATCTCAGGGTTCATTTGGGGGAGGATCCCCTTCCAAACTTGCTCACATGGCAGATCTCAAAGTATCTACTTCCAAGCTTACTCTCATGAACCTCTCTTCATGACAACTGGCCTTGCCTGGTGCAAGTGACCCAAGAGAGGGAGAGAGAACACCTGAGACTGAAGCCAAAGTCTTTTTGTAATCTCATCTCAGAAGTGACATCTCATTACTTCTGCCGTATTTGGTTTCTTAGGAGTTGAGTTGTTTGTTCCACTCCACAGTCAAGACTCGAGAAGAAGAGAGTACACAAGGGGATGAGTACCAGGAGGCAGGCATCATTGGGGGCCATTTTAGACACTGCCTACCTCACATGATCGTGAAAAGAGAATGGTATATGTCTGTATAGCTCAGTAAGCACAGAAGCCATTTTGCCTTTCCCTGGAAACAGAGTGCAGGAAGCCATTCCAGTGTCCCCTTCCATGACAACCTATTCTGAGAATCAGTAAGAACTCTCATTTCTTGGGATCTCAATCCATCATTTCTCGACGGTGCTAAATTTACGAATTCATCCCAAAGAAATAATGTGGTTTTAAATCCAATCAAGTCATTATGTGATTCACTCCATTAATCCCACTGATATATTTACTTGTAGCTAATGATGTTATAAATTTCCAAGTGGAAAAAAAAATCAGTACAGCCTTATTTATTTATTCTTTTAAAGTGCTGAATCTTTGCAGGAGGTGCTTGAGTACTGTTGTTTTCCAGCTGTTGGCGGGCATTTTGAACCCTAGTCATAGTGCATCAGTGGGGGTGGGCTGGTGGCAAAACAGCACATGATCAAAGTCAGCTGCCACCTTTCTTATTAAAGGACAGGAAAGTCAGTTTTTATAGCTTCAGCACAGCCACCACAGACAAAAATCACAAAGGGGGCTCAGAAAAGGGAAGTATCAAGTACAATAAGGAGACCCAACTGGTCAGGCAGCAAATCTTGCCCCTTAGTCTATCAGTGGTACCTCCATTGAATCAAAACCCAGATTCCCAGGGCTTCCCAGGGAACTATGGTACCTGGATGGTGTAAACAGTTTGCACTCAACTATTAACCTGAAGGCTGGAGGTTCAAACCCACCCAACAGCACTGCAGAAGAAAGCCCTGATGATTTGCTTCTGTAAATATTAAACCAAACTCATTGCTGTTGAGTCGATTCAACTCATAGCAACCCCTTGTTGGGTTCCCGAGGTGGTATTTCTATGGAAATGGATTGCCCAAACTTCCTTCTGAGGAGTGACTGGTGGATTTGGACCACCAGCCTTCTGGTTAGCACTCAGATGCCTTAGGTAAAGTATTACAGCCATGATAACCCTTGAGAGGAATTCTGTTCTGTAGCATATGGATTGCCATGAATTAGAATCAACTTGACAGCAACAGTTTGGGCTGTTTTGGTACTGGGGAACTTACAGAATATCTGAGCCAGAAAGAATCTCAGATGGAATTCTCTTCTAGCTTTTTCACCTTGTAAATGAGGAAACTGAGGCTTAGAAAGGAAAAGGGGCCTCACCAAGGGGTGTATCTATTCTGAAACATAGGTTTCTGTGACCACATCTTAATTCCCTTCATCAAACTCTCTCGTGAGAATGAAATAGCATCTTTTCTCAGTGACCGGAATGGCCACAGGGCATGGAGGGGACTTAGTTGTCCACTCACAGTAAGCCATGCCTTTTCTAGGGCTGTTCCCTCAGCCTTGAATGCTTGCCTGGCCCTCCCCCTCATGGATGAAGCAACTTCATCCATAGTTCTAGGGTTCCTTTGCAAAGTGATGCATCCAAGTGTGTAAGACAGATGGGCGACTTTCAGTTCTCTTTGGAGTGTCTTACTGATGGCAGACACCCCCTGATGAGTTGATAGTGAACTTCCCCATCTGTTTCCCTGGAAAGGAAGGGGTGTGCATTGTGAGTCACAGCCTTTGTTTGCATCCTCACTGAAGGGACTTGTGAGGTTTCATGCTACTCTTTGCCACTAGAGGGCAGAAGAATATAATTAATTCTGTTAGAGAGTCTGCCACAGAATTTTTTATTCCCCTAATATTGTGACTGAAACTCATGCTGGTCTATGAGTGGATTTGGGCTATATTTTGAGGTTGTTGTTGTTATGTGCCGTCAAATCGGACTTGACTCATAGCGACCCCTCCTTGGGTTTCCGAGGCAGTATCTTTACGGAAGTAGATTGCGCTATCTTCCTTCAGAGGAGTGGCTGATGGGGGGTGTAAATTCTTTAGGGAAAAGATGCTCACCTGTCTTCCTCACCTACCAAAGCAAAGCTCTTCTTTAAGATTGCCCAACCTGTGGGACCTAAAGCTACTGCCATCGAGTGGATTCTGACTCAGAGCAATCCCTAGGGCCCCTAAGGAGCTCTGGTTGCACAGTGGTTAAGATACTAAATTGCTAACCAAAAGGTCAGCAGTTTGAAGCCAACTAGCCATTCTGTGGTAGAAGGATGAGACAGTCCTCCTTCCATAAAGATTTACAGCCTTGGAAACCCTGTGGGGCAGTTCTACTCTGTCTGCTAGGGTTGCTATGAGCCAGAATTGTCTCAATGGCGGTGAGTTTGGTTTTTGGTTTAATCTATGGGAGTGTGAGGAGCTCTGGTAGCGTAGTGCCTAAGGCACTTGACTGCTAACCAAAGGCTGGTGGTTCAAACCCACCAGCCACTCCTCGGAAGGAAGTTTGGGCAATCTACTTCCATAGTGCTACCTACCGCCTTGGAAACCCAAGGAGGGGTCATTATGAGTCAGGTCTGACTTGATGGCACGTAGCAACAACAACATGGGAGTGTGATCTTAAGAATGAATATAAATGCCATGCACATAACCACATGTTTCTGAAATCCCCAC